AGGCATGGTAGGCTGGGGGATTGAATCCCCGGCTCCTGCGCCTTCTTTTATTTCACGTTAGGCCTTACCTGTTCATTCAGTAAGGACATCTTAGATGCCCCTAAGTCTTGGCCATTATGAGTAAACATGGTAGGAGTATTGGTGTGCAGTTTACTATGTGGTTATGTTTTGAACTTGTTGGGAGTAAATAATGAGTACAATTACTAAGTCAAATGGAATGAGTATGTTCAGGAAGAAATCAGCAAATTACCTTCCAAAGTAGTAGTAGTTGTCTTTAGGAGGTTTATAGTTTTGTGTTTACACTTTAGTGTATCATCTGTTTTGAGTTAATTTTTGTGATGAATATAAGGTCTATGCTACACATAGTGTTTAATGTAGCACATAAGTTCAAAAAGACAGCCTTATCACCTTACTATTTACTGATTTCTGCTGTTTGCTTAATATTTGCTAATTTCTTCCTGTTGATTTTTTTGTTCATGTTTCCTTATTTTGTTATATGCCTGGTGATTTTATGAATGTAAATTCAGATGCCTGTGCAAGATCCAGCATCAGAGATTAAAAAGATCTGATTTGCAGTTCCTGTGAATGTTTGCCTACTTCTGGTTCCTCCATCATTGTATGGTGTTCCATTTTGAAGCTCAATTTAAGAAGGATGTGTTTTCCCATCAAACTGAAAGATTATTTTCCTCCTCATGAGTTTGTGAAAAGTTCTACTCCACTTCTCAACTTTCCAGCTACCTTTTCTAGCTGCCCCTATTCCTGACTTGCTTCTTGGGATATCCTTTTGTCTTTTGGACTACTGATTCTTCACTGCCTCATGAATTTTTTGATGCATTTTAGTCATCTCCTTCCTCCTGATTTTGTAGTTTTCCTCAATAGAAGGTTTTTTTATACTCATATTACCTATTACTGGAAATATAAATACTTTTTCTTGTTGTTAAACTTAACCATTGGGATAGTAATATTTCTTCCTGTACTTTTTAAAGAAGATGCTTTACAGGGCCAGGGATATAACTCAGTGGCCCAGTGACTGCCTGGCAAAAGTGAGGTCCTGAGTTCAATTTCAAGTACCGAAAAAAAGATGCTCTATATTAATCTTGTAATAGAGGATTAATTTAAAAGTACAAAAGTGTTTAAATACAGAAAAGTAGCACAATGATATCAGTATAGCTACTTTTTTTGTTTTTGTCTTTTTTTGAGACAGGGTTTTGCTCTGCAGTTTAGCCTGGCCTTAAATTCACTCTGTAGCCCAGGCTGGCCTCAAACTCATGGCCTCCTGCCTCAACCTCTCAAGTGCTAGGATTATAGAAGTGTACCACCAGGCCTAGCACTATGAATATTTTTTTTTGTTAGAGTGACTTTTTTTTTGTGTTAAAGGTAATTTTTTTTTGTGATTTTTTTTTTTTTTTTTTTTTTTCAGGGGAATTGAGTTGGGAAGTAGTTAGGAGATGAGCCAAGTTTGGATAGTTTGAGTTTATTCAGATATGTTAGTTATGCTTTGGACAGTTACATATCAAGCAATTGTTTTTGGGCAAGAGGAGTGTAGAGATCTGGATTTGACAAAAGCTAGAAGTTGAACCTGTCAAAGTAAATAAAAATAAAAAGGACAGTGGTGATTATAGTATATTTTGCTATTAAGGGTAGCCTGTACTCAGAAGGGCTAAAGTAATTATGAGAAAGGCAAAATTGAGCAGTGTGTCTATAGGATAATTTGTGGTTTTAAAAATTCTATATCTAGGGCCTGAAACGATAGCTCAGAATGAGCGCTTGCCTGGCAAGTGTAGGGTCCTGAATTCAATCCCTGGTACTAAAAAAAAAAAAAAAATTATATGTAATGATCTTGTTTTTTTAAGCCTAACATAAGTTTTCTAGTATTATATACTTGCTAATATTTTAGACCTGTTTACAAAATAAATGGGACTCCAAGGTTTAGGATTTCAGGCTTGCTAATGATTCATACTTAGTTTTATGTAAATGATTATCATTAGTCTCTTTTATCAAATATGCATCATAACGTTAAAGATGAATAAAACTATGTTAAGTATTCCAAGGAAGTATTAATGCAAATGACTAATTACCATGAATCAATATATAATGAAGGGAGAGAAAAGACGAGAATGAACACCCTTGTACTTGCTGTTCATTTATCCACTGGTACTAGAGATAAAAAAATATGGTGACTCCATCAGATTTTTTTATGATATAAATCATTGAAGTTATTTGTCAGGCTAGTTTTAAAAGTAAATTGTACAAATGGCATTAAAAGATAGGCCAGAAATTCTTGGCTGTGTATCTACTAATTTTTTTTTTTTTTTTGTGGAACCGGGGATTTAACTCAGTCTCTTGTGCTTGCCAGGAAAGTACTTATTCCACTGAGCCATCTCCCCGGCCTTGTATCTACTCATTTTTTAGAAAAATATTTTATTGAGAAACAAATATTAATGAGACAGTTTCAAAACTGATTAATAGGACAGTTTCAATAATTAATACATTGTACATTGTTATCTTCTTTTGGCAGAACCGGGGATTGAACTCGGGCCCTTGAGCCATCTCCCCGGCTCCTTTTGTTATCTTCTTAGTGGTTATCCATAGTACAAGATGCAGACAGAATACCCTGTCCAAACACTATTAGTATACATTTTTCTTCTCATTGAATTAAGCGAAAGTAGCTGTATATCTATCCTAACTATTCTGCATATACAAATACAAAATGGTCCTTCCTTTGTATCCCCTTTTTTTGTTTAGTCCTGTCAGAAATGGGTATTCCATTGACATCTTAAATACTATAGGTGCGTGAATTCAGCAAAATAATCCAACATAGTCTAGCAGTCCACAATAGTAGTGTGTTATCCATAGAAGTTGTTGTCTTGAGCCTTTGACAGCTCAGCATATTAATATGGCTTTGCTTTATTTTATTTATTTATTTATTTCTTGGGGGAACCAGGGATTGAACTCAGGCCCTTGTACTTGCCAGGAAAGTGCTTATTCTACTGAGCCATCTCCCTGGCCCCATGGCTTTACTTTATGTACCTCGTTTTTATACTGTTCTGCTGGATGATTAAGACCAAGATAAAGCAAGACCTGTATAACAAGAAATGTAACTTTTTTTTTGTGGAACTGGGGATTGAACTCAGGCCCTTATGCTTTCCAGGGAAGTGCTTATTCTGCCGAGCCATCTCCCCAGCCCCAAGAAATGTAACTTTTGTATCTGATAAAGTCAGTCAGTACCCTCAAGATTTATCCTATAACCCTGTACCACAAGTTGCAGATCCTTTGTCAGTGTCAGCCATGTGGATGAGTCATGGCCATTGCTTGACCAATTTACTGTCTGTGAAAGCCTGAGAGAATGTTTTCTCTCCAAGTGGCCTTCTTTATTTAGCTTGATCATTGTTGGTTTGAAGTTGAGACTGTCTGAGAATAGAATTGCT